ATGCGACGGGCAGGGCGCGTCGGGGTTGTGCTACTGCTGTGGACAGGCTTCTGATCTCAGCACGTAGGAATAACACCCATGTCCTGAGTATCACGGAGGTGCACATAGTTTGAGACAGCATCAATGACAGCGAAGCAGTTGATACAGCAGTAGACTATTGATTTTTGAAATGTGTTTTTGAGGTCATACCTGTTGTACTACAGCAGTCTACACGTGTAGCACATATAGTCACCGCACTCTCCATGCGTTCACCACGCGTGGTACTTCTCCCCCCGCCCGTTTTCGCCCTATAGCACCGAAACTGACGGCAGCAATGGAACATGACTTTGCTCCTTGNGCTTTTGGGGGATAGCGGAACAGATAATATGCTAGATCTTCAACCTCACCATCGAAGCGATCTTTGATCGCTGGGGTCACCTTGTAAACCAGCTGCAACACGATGCAATTCTATCAAAGATAGATATGTTCTGTCAGGCAATTTATGAGAAAGGTGCCCCGCTCACGCGTTGTTGGGGCTTTATCGACGGCACTATTCGCGCGATCTCGCGACCTAAGCGTAATCAGAGATTGTGGTACAATGGTTGGAAGCGAAAGCACGCGTTGAAGTATCAAGCGATCGACACCCCCGATGGGATAATTCGCATGCTTTGGGGTCCCATACTCGGGCGTCGCCACGATGTCGCCATGGTAGGGGAAAGTGGTCTGCTGCAAGATCTGCAGCAGTGGTTCAACGACGCAGCAGGCACCCCTTACTACGTATTCGGCGACCCTGCGTACAGCCTTTCGCCCTGGTTGCTGGCGCCGTACAAGGGGGTTTTAAACGCCTTCGAACAGACCTTCAACACCGCAATGAGCTCCGTCAGAGTCTCGGTTGAATGNAAAAACCCTTCGAACAGGTCTTCAACACCGCATTGAGCTCCGTCAGGGTTCGGAAAAATCGTGGCCCTCTGGCCGTACGTTGGCTATGCCAAGAAGCAGCAGGTGGCGCTCAGCGCTTGCGGGCTTGGTAAACAGTATGCGGTCGCCGGCATTCTGACGAATTGTCACTCGTCCTTCTACCGCAACAACACTTCTTTCTACTTCGGTGTAAAACCCCCGTCGCTTCGTAGCTACCTGAACGGCGAAGGGTAGAGTGTGGGTTGACGGGCTGTGTCAGTGGCATGGGGTGATGGTGGCTTAGGTCGGGGGCGCTGGCAGAAGGTGCCGCTGAGACTCTAGTAGTAACGAATGGCATGCTCGCTGATATGTTTGCAGAGAAGCTGAAAGCTGATGCGGAGGTCATACTTGAGAAGGGTGATCACGTCTTCAAGAGGGCTGCGTTCGTCCACAGGCTCGGTTAGCTGTACCACGTGAATAACGGGAGTATTGAACTTCATTCAAATGTGCTCCATCACCCAACGCGGTGCGCTGAAACGCACTGCCGGTCTACAGCAGCTCAACCACGGCATCAAGCCTGAAGACGTAGTCCTGAATACTTTCGCTTGGCCACTCTCGAGATGCACGTGACGATAAACCTATCGTGAACCCTGTGTTTGAACACTGCATGTCAAGAAACATGACGCCCGACTGGCTACCAGTGATGCACCACGTCCCGAATCCCGTCTAGCAACAACAAGCAAGGGACAGACTCAAACCGTGGCAGCCACGAACGAAAATTTGCATGCCCTGCGTCCACCACGAGGCGGCGGGTTGTTCTTGCGGCCCTCAATTGGCAGGGCCGAAGTAGCGGTAGACATACGTGACGTGTGTTTAGCGTCGGTAGTAGCGTCTCATCGGAGCAACAATAGCCGGCATGAAGCAAAGATCAAAAATGTCTACCGCTACTCCACAATCGGAAGACAGCAATGGCTAAGAAGTGCAGAAACACCAAGGCGAAAACGAAAGAAACAATACAGGACGCAAGCAACCCACGGTACCATGCAGTGACGGAGTAGCGGTAGACATGTGTGATGTTTGTTTCATGTCGGTAGTGACCTCTTCACTGGGGAAGCTATTGCCGGCATGAAGCAAAGAGCGCAGATGTCTGATGGTACATCCGCCACCGGCATAAGGCAGCGAGCTAAAATACAGAAACATCGTAGAAGAAAGGACAAAGAAAGACAAGAAGACAAACGCAAACATTACAAAGGGGAAAAAAATAGAAATATAACCGCAAGAAGTCGGGGGTGGGCGGGGGCGAAGCCAGTCCATTCCAACCGAGTAACAGAGTCAGCCGTGAGCCATGGATGAAGGCCGGATGACGTTATAGCCGCTCCCCCCGAGGCACAACACAACAAATAAAAAATCCGGTAACCACGCCGCGGGGGCAACAGCCGGTATGTGTATGTTGGGGGTGGGCTGGGGGGTGGGGCGGGAGATTCAGGGTCTCCAGGAGACTCTCCCCTTAACACACGAAGAAAACACGCATTAGGGAACAGGAATGTCGAGGACGCAGGTGTGGGAACGCCCACGTCCAACTAAACAACAGGTGGGGCGATAAGGCTGGAGCGCGCAAGAGGCGTCCTTTGTAGTCAAAATCCGTTCGCACTAGACTACAAAGACGACAGCAAGCGAACGTCGACGAGCGGAAAATAACTGCAGGGTAGCGCACATAGAGGGGATATTCAAGAGAGAAACAAACATGGCAGCGAAACGCGAAACGCGAAACGCACGCCGTTGGGCCCAAGCCGCAGGGGGGGGGGGTGAGACGACGTCTGGCAATCCCAGAAAACGAAGACACGCAAGGTCCAACCGACGACCCGATATTGTGCACGTAGGCACCTCCTCCATCGTACACACTCTCCGAAAGCGCTTCAATACACCACACTGGCAGACGGACAAAAGACAAAACACAAGACACGAAGGACAAAGATGACGCCAGAGTACCTTTGAGGGGAGGCAGATGAACCACCTAGCTCTAGACTGGTCTCCAAGCCGGCTGCACGAAATTCGAACTGCCGCTCTTAATCCCTGTCCCAGCTCTCCGCCCCCCACGCTCTGGCCTCCGGAATAAGCCCCCCCGCCTAACCCCGACAGGACGCTTCTCATTGCCGCCAGCATCCGGGGCTCGACCGCCTCCCGTTCCACGCCCCCCAGTCACCCGGCCTCCCGAAGGCGCCCCCCTAAACCCGCCCGCACCCACCCGCGCTACTGGAGTCTGCTGCCTAGCCCCCTGTTCTCGCGAAAAACCTGGGAGAACAGCGGGAGGGGGTATTCCCACCGCAGGTGGGGCACCCGCCGGGGACGCCGCTGCGGCGGCAGCTGGCGCCGGAGCTGGCGGCGGCGGCCGCGGTGATGAGGTCGCCGCGGCAGCGGTAGCTTGAGGTGCCACCGGAGTAGTCGGCGGCGGCGCCCAAGGAGCTGTCGCCGCCCCCCCTGAATGTCCTCCTGGCTGTCCCACGCCGATTTTGGCCGCAATACTTTGCAACAACCCCAACCCTTGCTGGGACTGCTGCAGACTCTGCTCGGCCATGTCGTGACTGCGTTGCGCGAGCTGAGTGTTGTGCGCAACCTGTGCCCTAAGCGCATCGAGTTCGGCGGGCGCGGGCGGTTGCTGCTGAGGGTTCGGTCTGTCCACCAACTTGGTCACAGCCATCTTCATCAAGTCCATTATCTCCGAGCTACCACCCGAGACGCCACCTGGGGTTCCGCGAAACTTCTGCTTTCGCACGCCTCCCCCCCTCCCGGAGCGCACCTTCCGACCCGCCTTGCCCGCGGAGAGTTCCGTCGCCTCCTCGTCGTCGAGCTCGAACTGGCCTTGTCCGTCGCTGCCTTCATCCCCATGCACTAACCCTGAGGCAGAAGACTCGTCGCCATCGTCGTAGTCCCCCTGCCCGCCGCCACCAAAGTCCTCGTCCTCGCCCCGGGGGTCCTCGGGATCTTCCCCTAGCTCCTCCACGTCGTCTATCCCACCACTGTTTCCCCTCCGCGCGAAGTAGTCTTCTGCCTGTTCGTCATTCAGAACGCCGTCCAAATCGAATAAGCCGACTGATGATGAGGCGCGCCCACGGCCGCGTGCGCCGCAACCACGTACAGCCCCAGCCCCCATTCTGGGGCGTCCACCCCTAGCGGAGACATGCCTACGTCCGACCGCGCCTCCCGCGCCCGAGGACGTGCCTCGCCCACCCGCGGTGGAACCAAGACCACGCCCCCCCCCAGCAGAGCCCCGTCCTGTGGCAGGAGCTCTGCGAGGGGCGGAGCCGGTGGCGGAGCCGCCGCCTGCGGCGACTCCCCTCCCCCCGCGAGCAGAGAGACCGCCCCTGCCTCCGCCTGCTGAGGGCGCGGAGGACCTCCAAGAACCTCCGCCGTAGGCAGCGCGGTCACGTTCGGCCTTGGCGGCCGCTACTTGCTCCTTCGCGGCGACGTCCCCCGCCATCGCCTGCTCCTTTGCAGCTTGTTGTAGCTTGATGGACGATATGAGCTGGTACTTCTGGAGCGGAAACGCAGGCGATGTAGGCATGAGCCACGGATGCAAAAAAAAACAAAAAAATAGAAACAGAGTTAGGATACGGCGCGTTGCTCCACTCACCAACCAAACGCCAACGTTGAGTCTGTCGGCATTGTTGCACGTGGGCCCCCTTCGTGATGTCCCCCCACCATTTTTTCGGCTTACGCCGTTGTTGCGTTGGAAGATTACGGGGGCGTCGAGCTACCCCACCCCAACAACAAATTAACAAACAAAAACAAAAGTAAAAGGTGCGTGCACGATCTCCCACGGGGAGGGGACACGTCGTGAGTCCGCAATTAATTTCCCGCTTAGGACGGGTACAGCCACCCGGGGAGACGACAAAAAACAAACAAAAAAAAATAAAACTCCCTCCAGCACGCACGTGCTTACAATCGCGGGCGGGGGGTGGGATCTGACCCTAACCCATTTTTTTGTGCACAGTTTTTTGAGTCCGGACTCTTGACACGGGCCACCAATCTATCCCCTGACACACAGAGACGAGGCACAGCCCCCCCCGACCACCCGACTGGTAAACCCCACCTCCCGAAGTACCATCCGCGCACCTCAGAATCCCTCGCGTACAGCTCGCTCTCCTCCTCCTGAGTCATTGTCCCTTCTCCGGTCAGCTTCGCGGCACCCCTCTCTTCCTTTTCGATAGCGTTTCTCCTGCGGTTCCATCCTCTCTCGATAGTGTCCGCCAGCTTTGCCTTGTCCACGGGATCCTGGAGTTTCGGGGCGTGCACCAATGGGAGCGGGTGGGAGAAGGGGGGGCAAATGAACAGCGAACGTACCCCTCACACCTCCGCGTGAGACGCCCACAGAGAGAGATCGTTCAATCAAAACCCTAAACCGTGGAAATGCATGACCTCGATACGAAGGAACCAAAGAATACTACCATTCAAGAGAGAAACAAACATTCAATCAGCCTTAATCTTGATACGGTCCTTACACGATTGCGCTGGTAGTCCAGGTGCAGGTCTTGCCGCACCCCATTCCTGAATGTGGTCAGCGTCTGGGCCTCTATGAACGTGTCCACCACCCGAAGCCACTTTCCAGGCCGCAGTGCGTCACTACGCTCCCCCCACGGAGTGTGTTTCCCGACGGCTAGAAAGCAGCATTCCCATTCCCCTGGCCTCGCCATGGCTCGTTGGATCGTGAAGGGATTTACACCTGGAGGAGTTTATTTGCATACGCGAGGGCGCGTGATGGTCCATACAAGTTTAGAGTACAGTACACGACGGTGGCACCCGATGCTCGTACATGGACTTGTACCTAACCCAACCACAAGTTATACAACGGCTGTTCCTTCATGCCTTTTTCTCACTAACCGGTCCGACCTACACGCCGAGATGTCAGCACACTTGTATCTCGCTGCTACTTGCTACCCGAACAATCGCGTAGATCGGCCCCGGGAACAACTCTGCGTGCACCCAGTCGACCCCGAAAAGAAGTCCTTCCCAAAGAAGAACTCACCCTGATCAGTGGCCCGCTCTTTGCCGCTCTTGGCCTTGCCCCGGGTCTTGACTTCCTTTACGCTGTCGCCCGAGTCGGAGCTTTCTTCATCTGCCTCCTCCTCATCACCTTCGCCTACCTCACCTTCTCCCTCGTGCGCTCCCGCGACCACCCCCTCCAGAAGCACGCTGCTGCTTCCTGATACGTCCAAGCCACTGCCCGACATATCCAAGGCTAGACTATAGGGTTGGACATGCGACCACTGCCGCCAGCCGAAGCAGCCCTACCACCTGCCCACCCCTCGGAGTCGAGATAAGGTGAGCCTTCTCCGTAGCGACTGCTGGGAGTGGACTTCCGCTTTCCGAGCGCCTTCCCGGGAGTCAACGAGAGGGAGTCTGAGGTCTCCTGCGACATGTTTCCTCTCGACACTTGTGTATATACACTACGCGAACTACACTCCCCGAATCCCAACCGCCGCCAGCGATTTCGTGCCCCTGGTACGTACGCCCAGAGCTACCATCTCTTCCGCCAACAACTGCTGTAACCTCTCCCATCACGGGCGGGGCACCCGACTAGCTGCTGTTGTGGTTATCTCCCGTGTACTTCGAGTCCAGAGTTCAGACAGACCAACCTCGGCGTGTTTTGTTCTCGATCTCGCGATGAACGCACACGATCCTAACCGCGGCTTGACGTTCCCCTAACGCGATGTACTCCCGGGAGCGTTGTGTTCACGTGTGTGGGTGTGCGGGAAGCTGCGTGCGAGCTTGCCGACTGAGTTGCGACTGAGTTGATGCCTTGGTGTGTGTGCGATGGCTCTCGTGTCAATTTGTCGTTTTCTCGTGTCAAAATACCTCTGGTGAAAATATTTTGACCACGTTTTCGAAAAATTTTGACCTGTAATTCTGACATGAAAAAGTGCGGCGTAACCTCTCGTGTCAAAATTCTGAGGTCTCGTGTCAAAATTTCGTGCTCGTGTCAAAATTCCTGACACACGTGGGACCCATGTAATGTTCTGCAAACTCGATGCTGCGGCAGCAGCCCCGGCCATCATGGCCTCCTCATCCATGTTGGGCCGTGGCCTTCTCGTCGGCGCGGCCTTCTCGTGCGTGTGCGTCTAGATGTATTCGTGTGTTCGTGTGTTGTTGGGGTGTGTTCGTGATTTTATTATTAGCATCGACCGCGCTAACCAGGTGACCAATTCGTCAGCGAGATGTCCACTCTCGCCTTCCGTACCGCTCGCTGCCAAGGCACATTATTACAGTTCGGCTGCAAGCTCCCCGCACAAGGCCTCTGGTGATGGACTACACCATGCGACGGTGGGAATACCGATGTCCTTCACGATTGAGTTGGTCGGAGACGAAATCGGCGGTGGCGGCTCGCTGCCTGATTGGGAGCCGAACAGCAGCTTCAGGTTCATCTACGTTTGGATATGCAGTAAGGATCAGGTGGGACAGGCATTTCTCTACGAACTGCTGTATTTGTACGCGAGGAAAGAGTACAGTGGTTGAGGTGTTTGGTCGGTTCAGGTGCACCCATCGAGCGTCACGACCTATAGTACTCACGAGGGCATGCAGGGTTTCCAGTCTGGCGCACGAGTTAGGTTGTACGGTAACACGAGAACGATTCATCAATCTCCGCCCCCTCGTTGAAAGCTGGGTCTGGGTGTACATGTAGAACAACAAGGACGAATTCTGAGCAGTGTCATGTCGGGATTTTGAATCCACGGGATTTCGAATCTACAATCAACCTGCCAAGGGGGTGAAGTTTTCACCGTACTGTTTCCAGTCTCGGTTATCATGGTGTTACAAAGTAGTGCATTAGTAGGAGAGAGATTGAAGGTTGATCATCGTCCGGTGTGGAGGAATTTTCTCCGTCGAAGATATCAGAGCCAAGGAAGCTTCTTGTTGTCACCTTATCATACATCTGTCTGTCAGTGTGGTTCACTCTTCTTGATGCGGAAAAGCCCTTGAGCGTTCCAACCACCTCTTGTGTGAAGTTTCATGATGCCAAACGCTGCTTGGCAACCACCCTTTTCAACAGGCCGTCGATGTAATCCTTTCGCTACATGCAACAATCACAGGTTGAGGCGAAAGAGACGAATTGTGTGAGTGCCGGTTCTTCTTGAAAGTGCCTGACCGCAGGTCTTCATCCGGGGATGTATGTAGTCTATGGGAGTCCCGTAAGGGAGATACTGGGAACGATGGAAATATTGTCGAGAGAATAGCATATATAAATTCCATGCGACATCCCTTATATTGGGTCTTCGTTATCCTTTGGGAATGCCGCTTCTACCCCGCATGGCACCGCAGATCTTGATCGCGGAAGTGGTCGGTGACGGCAGTAACAATGGCACTCTCACTGCCACGTACCAGAGCGATTTCCCCGGGGACTACCTGGTGCACGTCGAGGAAGTCCAACCGTCCAAACGGGGTGAGGGTCTTCCTATCGTGGGAAGCCCTTTCTCTCTCACGATTACAGGCGATGGTCCAACGCTGGACGTAGACTCCCTACCAGTTTGTGGATCCCAAGACGATGGCAGCAACGATATCGCGGATACATTTTGGAGGCCCGGGACATGGCTATCCTCGAACGTGGCTAGTGCTGCGCACGGAGTGATGAGAAATGGCTGGGTGTTTCAGCCCAAATCTTGTGTTTTCGACACATTCTCTTATCAAGATCTCATGCTCCTGGCCAGCCTCGACGGCGAGCCAACGTGGCTTGTGGTCGTGGGTGGATCGGTCCAAAGAGGCGTGTTTCTTACGCTTGTGGACATGGCGTTAGCGGCAGGACAAAAGGACGACATGGCGACAAGTGTCCTCCAGAAGTGCTGGGGATACGCCGACCTCCGGGTTGGGAACCTCCGTCTGACGTACCAGGTGTTGTGCCACATGTAGTTCGCGTTTTGCCGTAACTCCGATGCGAGGGGACTACTTCCTGTTGTGGCGTACTGTCTAGGCTTGGAGAATTTTCTCCAGCAGGCAGAGGACGGTGGACGGTCTGTAGCACCTTGGCCTGCGGGCACACCATCTTTTGGTACTTGTTCCTGAGTAATTTTCGGCGACCCATTGCAGTAGGATGCCAAGGTTGAAATTGAAACTACTGTAATCCAGCCCTTGCACTTCCATCCTACTCTCTGTCTCTAGCTTGGGGAGTGAAGGAGCGGAATTTCGTTCCATAATTTTACACATGGCCGTGCAGCCTAATAACGCCGCATCAATTCGTGGCTGTTGTTTTGTGCCTTGATTGCTGTCCTCAGGACATGCGGCTGTATCAAGTATCCGGAAAGACCGGTACGTGTCACCCCATCGGCTGGTTGCTGTATTGAGTGACTGAGCGACTTAGTTGATCAGACCGGTGCTCTGGTGTAACGACCATGGCGTTTCTCCGTGTGTACCCTTAGCTTGTACCGCTTTTTCTTGACAGGAAGTCTCTGGCAGGAGTTTCTAGGAAGAAGCAGTTGGACACGAGTGCTCTCGGCTCGTGTTTGTCATTGAGGGACGTGTGCCTACTGTAGGCCGTAGTCGGTCAGATTGAAGATGATCTACGCGAAAACTAAGCAAGTCGTCCCATCTGTAAGAATACTTATGATTACGTTCCCGGGTTTAGACTTCCAACTTTCATGTATGTGGTGGCTACCATTCATCGATTGAAATGTTTCGGCACTGGTAACTGGGGTTTTTGTCAACGTCGGCAAAAATGTCGACCAAAATGTCGACCAAAGATGGATGAGTGGAACGAAAAACACCTGCTGATGTATTTCGCGTAAGGCTTACGCCAATGCCATTGAAATGGTGCCAGTCAAATCGGAAAAGTTCGGAAACAAGCTAGCGCTGGTTGCCACCATTGCCGTTTTTTTTTCCAGAACGAGACGAACATGTGCTGTTGTTTGTTGTCGACACGAACCTCTCAATTCCTTAGATTCGGTGGTCTGTAACAACGAAAAGCTCACCAGCGGGAGCACGGCTGCCTTCGTTCACTCCGCCAAGGAGTTCCTGGCGTCGACCGCTTTTCGAGACGGTACCCAGTGGCCGGCGACGATTTTGGCACCGTCATACTTGGTCCCCGAAAACAATGTCAACCAAATGATTGAGGTGATACCGAACGAAGATAGGCTGTAGCCGATTCAGCCCCCGATAATGCAATGCACGGTCAGCAAATTCATGGCGTCGGTTCCCCGACCAGTAGCGGTAGCACCACCTGCCCATGAATTCGGAAAGGGAACGTCATCGGCGCGAGCCACGGGCATGCGATATCAACGAGTGTCTTTGGCTTCTCACATGCAGTAGGCGTACATCAGGTACGATATTCTGCAGGGGAAGACCAGGTTAGGAATACTGCTGTGGAGAGGGGGTATATAAAACTCCGTATCAACCAATAATCCTAGCTTTCGATGCCACCCTTTTGGGATGGTCTGGAATATGCCGTGACTACTACTGTACATGCAACGACACAAACGAGCTTGGGACTTGTGTGCGGCTGTCCTTTAAGAATCCTGTTGCTCGCTGCCTGTTAGCAGGCCGTTGGGGTCACCATCGCTTGCATACGTTGATCGTATCGACAACATGCACCTCTTTCCTACAGACAGGCCTGCGTCGTGCGCGCATGCGCAGGTGCTCATGGATTCATTGCCGCCAAGCTGGGAAGGAAAACTCCTGTTCGTGGATCACATGGCTGGATTTGTGAGTGGAATCAGATCTCTGCAATTTGCAATATGAGTCATACTTTGCGACAGGGAATTGAACTATTGCACCGTTCGAGCTTATCGAGTAGTCCGATTGGCTTGGCTGAATTTGTGAGTGGAACCAGATGTCCGGGATTTGCAATATGTGTCATGTTCTGGGATAGAACATTGAAGTATTGTGCTGTTGGAGCAGTTGGCCACGTCACCGGCATTTGCTTGGGCAGGGTAATAGGCCGTTGTTCCCCACTCGGAGGCCAGAAGCGCGTAGTCGAGATTGGCCAAAACAGCCGGATTTTATCTGTCCGCAAACGTCTACCCGAGGTTAATGGGTTGCTCTCATGATTGCACTGAGCGTCCCGTTTGCGTCACGCACGTCATGCCATTCAGAGGATACACTGGACCCAAGGAAATCCAACCAGGACTGCCCTCATGGACGTGAGAATAACGGCCACAGGCAGAACGCCAACCGACGACTTTGCACTCCGGAAAATGGACGGATATCAAACCCAAGACCCTCGCGTATCGTTCATAAGCGCATTCCCTGTGAGTTTCGCGGAGTTTATCGATCTCTATTGATTGGACGCTTTTTCTGGCAGACGCGAACAGGGGGCTCGTTCATTCATGGTTATCAGTTTGTTCCGATCTCTGGTCGCGTCTCCTAGTATCCGTACTACGGTAGCCCAACTGACATGGACGCCTTCTGTGTTCGCAGAAACCCAAAGGCTGTCACGTTGTGAAGAATCCAGAGCATATATCGATCAGGAAGACCCATTAAAATCGACACAAGAATGATAGTGGAACCAAACCTGAAGAATAATTTTTCCTACAGACTGCCAGACGTCATGGGTTGCAATGGCCGACAAAGGAGATATCTAGTTCGAATTGTGTGATAAAGTCCAGTGCCCACACTCCGCATGCAAGAACCATAGCAAGCACAAACTAAGGGCAGGAGCTGACCTGCTTTTCCTATAAAGAACCAAGGATCACCGCGGTCACAAGTCAAGATAATGTGCCCGCATGGTTCTATGCTGTTGGTCCATTTAGGCCACCATCTGAGGACACTCTGCACCCACGTTTGTCGTACATTGGGTGTATGTGGATCTTGGCGAATCTCTCATAATGACTTGTAGGTGCACTCATTCGAGCTCGCGGGAAATCCCCTTGTCCTTGTTATCAGTACATTGTCTACAGTGGGCTTATTACTACTGTCACCCGTGCAGGCAACGGTGGAGTTGATGTCTCGACCCAGGGTCCTTGTTGCACCCACGACAGTACCGTTCTTGCGAACGATACCTATCTGGTCGTCGGTTGTCTTTTCCTTAAGCTACCCCGCCGTACGCTGTGCGCTCGAAATGTAGTTTTATGCCATCACCTTTCCTGAGCTGCGTCCAACGTTACGGGCCGAGTGTTTCCCGTGCAACTTTATCACCCTGGTTCTCTGTCGGCGTCACAAGTGGATGTTGGTGCTGGCAACATAATTCCAAACCGCATCTGTGCATGCTATAGTGGAGCCTAAGACTATGGAGACTGCCCTGGCGTCGCGTCCTTCCTTCATCGTATCCCCCCCCCTGGCATACTGGCCAACGCCCGTGCTATGGTCATGGTCAGATGTACCAGGCGAAACCTCTTCGAGAACGAGCGATCGAGACAAGGGATTCGACATTACGGGGCAAGTATACACTATCACTACGTGTCTTCCACAACGTCCGACCCCGAAGCGCACAACGGGACAACCATGGTGCACTCCACGATGACAGAGATGCTGGCTAACGTGAGTCGACGGCGAGTGCTCACTGGGACGAAAGCAGTTTCTCCAAGGCATTTTTTTGTGGTATCCGGTTTTCGAGACCAACAGAGAAAGGCTGGAATAGAGGGTGAGATGCTTCTTGTGTCCAAACGGACTTGTTGGGATCGTCTACAATGCCCCTGCACGGCAGAGCCTAAACCACCGGACGCTCCGTTCGTCTTTTGTCGGGCTACATTCTTGTACAAATCCTACTCGCAGATAATGATCGGCCGGGCGGTGGAGACAAAGGCGGAACTTCATGCAAAGGCTGCGGCGTCAACAGAGGGTAGTGAACAACAGAGCGTCGATGTCGGGAAGTCGTTCCAGGTGAGTGTGCGTGGCCAGCACTACAAGAAAAAACGTCTTGTGTTCCTTGTTAGCCGCAAAATAATTTGATGCTTCAAAAGTGTACCGAAACGTGTAGAATGGCCCCCAGAACCGATGGGATGCAAGGGGAAGCAGAGTAGGTTTGGTAGCGGGAGAATAGGGATTTATCAAGGTGTTCCACAACAGGCGAACCGATAGGGGTGGTAAACGGCACAATGTGAGCTTCAACCTCACTTTGGTCTGTGCGTATGCATCTCTGCCCCTCCCTTCGTGTCGTCCGACAACTGATGATGGGTCAGGTGTGCTCGGACTGCCCTCGACAGCTGCTGCCGGCCCACGTCAAGCCTATCCCTGAACCTGTCTGCGAGACCGTGGAGTCCCTGCCTGGCAACGCAGAAACAGGCGAGGTGTGGGATGGAGAGCTGTGCCCCGATTGGTGCATGAAACAGGCGCCGGTGTCTCAAAAAGAGACCCAATCCGGTCCAGTAGACGTCCGGGAGTGTAGCATGGAGACTCGCCTGCCGTGATGAGAAAGCAGGGGGTGAAGTGGTGGCGTGCAGGGTGTTCGTCTCATGTCCTCGTCGTCCGGAGCACAATCCGGCCAAACGGAGCCTCCCAATAGCAGAAAATATTCAATCGTAGAACTGCTACTGTACCCGGGCGAGTAATTCTCCAGCCCGGCCCCCAGCTAGCTCGGGGGGCCCACAAGCCGAGGGATTGACCACGTTATTGCCGAAGCCCTGCTGGATGGCGTTGTTGAAGGGTTTTTACGTTGGACCGACGTAAGCGATGACACTGTTCGTGTGTGTTTTTTATTATTATTAGCATCGACCGCGCTAACCGGCTGACCGATTAAAAGACGTCAGTGCCAGCGGGTACAAATCAAGGTCCCTGGAAGGGGGCCGAAATTCGAAAAATGCGCAATGCGCTTGATGCGAAAGCCAATACGACTCTCTCTACATGTTATTTCACGTAGACACACATCTCAGCTACACACATGCCCTCCCTCGAACCTAGGAAGCCACTGATGCTAAAGAGCGGAGGACAGCAAAAGGGTTATTTCAAGCCCAGCCAAAGCCAGGATATCGTGGTATGCAGCATCTCCCAATTTGATAATCGTACACTCCCAAGTGTCAGCAGCTAGGTAACTCAAACAAAATAGCAACACATACACTGCCATAGCTCCACACATGCCCTCGTCCGAACCTAGGAAGCCACTGATGCAAAGAGCGGAGGACAGCAAAAGGGTTATTTCAAGCCCAGCCGAAGCCAGGATATCGTGGTATGCTGCATCTCCCAATTTGATAATCGTACACTCCCAAGATCCAACAGTCATCGTGTCAGCAGCTAGATGACTCAAACAAAACAGCAACACATACACTGCCATAGCTCCACACGTGCCCTTGTCCGAACCTAGGAAGCCACTGATGCAAAGAGCGGAGGACAGCAAAGGGTTATTTCAAGCCCAGCCGAAGCCAGGATATCGTGGTATGCTGCATCTCCCAATTTGATAATCGTACACTCCCAAAATCCAACAGTTATCGTGTCAGCAGCTAGAT